GCCCGCACTATCGATAGTATCGTGTGGAGGAATCTATAATTCTAAAATGAGCTTTTAGAGACAAAAGAAGGGTCCCAGTTGTAAAATTTAACCATTAAATGGATTATTTGTTGAAAGAGCATTCAAAGTAGCCACAAAAACAATTAGAATGCTCGCGCAGTTACGCAGAGGTATAAAAGAACACACCCTTTATTACATTTCATGTTGTACGAGGGTTTTACCCAATTCTCGAACTGTGTTAGAGTGAACCCGTGCTATAAAAGCACCGTGTTATACAGGGATGTTCCCAATTCTCAAACCGTGTTAGAGTGAATCCGTGCTATATAAGTGCCATGTTATACGTGGGTTACCTGTATTTGCTTCTAGTAGATAGAAAGCTCTACTTTTTCTATCCTTTCCAAGTGGTAAGCATAGAAAAAAAAAGATGTCTGTGGCATTGCCAGTTTTTTAAACTTGTGTTTTTAAGGAAAGTTTTAATTTTGATGGTCAAGTGGCATACAATGAAAGGTTTGTCACCAAAAGTTTGTATTCTGGAAGATTGAAAGTGAATAAATGGTGATTTTTTTTTCTTTTTTGGCTGTTATGTATACATAACAAGGGAAAGTATGGGAATGTGACCCTCAAAATATGGAGATTTTACAAATTGCCACATTCCTGATCCAACCTGAATCCAAAAAAGTCAAAAATTTCTGTGCATGTGTGTTGGCGTCTATTTTGTTTGATATCTAGGATGGGGTGACGATTAAGAAACGAAATTTGGCACAGGAACTTGTATATAAGGGGTATTGATTCTATTAAGTTTTTGTGGTGAAAGGTTGATAGGGTTGGGAGATAAAGGGAAGTCATGTATCTTGAAAGGGTAGGACTTAAGATTTTAGTTATTTTACACTTTTTAGAAGATTTTAGTTATTAACATTTACACTTTTTTATAAAACTCATCCCTACCCTCAAGTTTTTTGCCATTTTATAGTAATTAAAAATATAAAAAGTTTTTATAGGAAAATCTGATAACAGATAGTGCCACACACAATATTATATTTTGCTTAATAATATAAAAAGTTTTTAAAATAAAAACTCAACAGCTGGAAAAGTTATGCAACTCTGTAAGTGCGCCAATTACGGGGGGTTTTTATTCCCTTTTGTCGGGATGGTCTAAGGCTCTCGTGTATGTGGGTGGTGGTTTGCAAAGGCAGAAAAATGAAAAGTGTCACAAAAGAAAACCATTTATTTGGTTAAAGGGTATGCTTACATCCAAAAATTTGAGTCATAAAAATAGTGTGGAACCTCAATGTTGGTTTCTGTCAGTATCATCCAGTATCAATCAACGAAACATTGATTGATACTGGATGGACAGCCCTGGGGCAATGATGAGATAGTCAAGAATTTGAACTTGTTGAAATTTGCATACTTGAAGCTATCGTGGGAGGAGTCGACAATGTTTTCTATGTTTGCATGACGTAGTTGAGGGTGAGGATGATTTAGATGATTGGCTCAAACTGAGAGATTGAACCCTTGTCCTTAGACAATTGGGTTTTTATAATTTTTCATTCTCAATTTCTTTTCTGATTGGTCAGGCTTTCCCTTCCTCGTCCCCGATTGGTCTCTTACCTGTCTCGAAGTAGAATTTGAAACCAAGATGTCACAATTGATGCAAGAGAGGACAATGCACTCTTCTTTCAATTCCCTTTATTTGAAATTAGTATGCACTTCAGACTGTTAGTCTCTCATCAGCCAATTTTTATCTATATAAATAATTACTCTTGTTATTTTTTAATAAATAATAAACCAACAAAGGAATAAGAATTTACAAACTGAATAGAAAAGAAGTCATATGTCATTTTGTACAACAACCCTA